TTGAAAAATACCTTGGCTTGGATCAGGTGCTCTTGAGGACTTATGAGGCAGATTCAAATGAGGTGTGAACCCACTGACCACCCAACCTGTCGGAGCTCTGACGGCTGGACTGTTGCTGGACAGTCTACTTCTAAACTCAGTCATGCGAAACCTCAGGAACCAGCAGAACCTTATGGTTCTACTGACACATGTGATGCTCATAGGTCGCCATGAATCACAGTCGGCTTGATGGCAACTGGTTTATGAAGAGCAGTAAGTCTGCTGGTTTACAGACCCTCAGGAAGCAAGTGCAGAATTCTAACGCATACAATGTTTAAGAGTTGTTGAAGCATCAAGTATAAGGTGGTGAGAAGAGGCACAGCTCAAGAAGTTCCAGAATCGAATGAAATTTTAATGCAATACTGAGGAGTTGAGAGATTAGTTCAGTAGGCACAACGCCAGTTTTATTAAATTTTTTAAATTGTGGTAAAAATAAGTTCACATGGTTGCCACCTTAACATGTTTTACATACACATGAATTCATGAACATTTACTTCAGACACCATGTTGTATAACCTGCAGTATTATCATTTTCCAAATTTTTCTATTGCCCTTCAAATGAGTCAGTGGTATTTTGCAGTCCCTCTTGCTATCTACAGATGTCAAGATGGATGGATGTGGGCTAGGGAGTGATTGAACCAGCAACAAAAGACAGGATAGAAAATGTGTTCAAATACTCTGAAGTATAGAGGATGTGGCTGTAGACGGGGACAGAGGCTGCACAGGGGAGCTAGTTAGAAAAAGAAACAAAAATGAGAGAGATTTAAGAGGTAGATTTTTAAAAATATGCTGTAATCATTGACAGCCACCAGCAGTAACGTAGTCTTGTGGATTCAGCCCCTGCTGAGTGACCTTTTTCGGAGAAAGACCAGCAATCCTGCCTGCTGTTCTCTGTATGTTTCTATCAGAGAAATGGAACACTAGTGGTTTTAATACAAAGTAGGAGCATTTGTGTGTCACAAGCCAAGAGAACCAGCCCTAAGATGCTGTAACACTTGCCATCAGTTCTCAAGTTGTAGCCCATAGGCGACCATCAGAGCCTGGACATGCTGCATACAGTTCAAGTATGCTGTTGGCCAGGGCCCTGAAGTCGGAGGCAACGGGTGTATGATTAAGAACTTGGGTTTGAAATCAACCAGGTCTGGGTTTGAATCAAAGACTGCCATCAGCAACAGTTCTCATTTCTGAGTCTAGTTTCACTGTCCATAAAGAAGAGATTAACACATCTACCACCTATGATTGCTATTTGGATCAAATGAGAGTAATTTTTAAAATTGTGGTAAAAATAAGTACATACAGTGGCCATTTTAACGTGTTTTACATACACACAAGTTCATGAACATTTACTACAGACACCATGCTGTATAACCATCAGTTTTATCATTTCCAAATTTTTCTATCACCCTTTAAATGAATCAGTGGTATTTGAAGTGCACATATAAGTGGTACAACTAACTTTTATTTAAGACTAGATCATATCAGAGGACAAACTCTCTCTCTTCTCTTTTCTCCTTTACATTTAATATATGTACTGGTTTCTTTTTAATTGTATCATTTCGCTTTGCATTTCCCCTGTGACCTAAGAGTTCTTCTACAGAAGAATGAGGATGATAATAGAAATTAAGAAGGCTGTTAAGGACTAAACTAGGTTCACCTATAAGGCCCCAGGAGGTAACCTGAAGAACCAGGTAGGTGCTTAATGGAATCTGGTGGCCTAGTGGGTAAGAAGTTGCTCTGCCAAAAAAAAAAAAAACAAACAAGAAGTTGCTCTGCCAACACAAAAGCATGCGGTTCAAATCCACCAAGCAGGCAATATTCTCACATGCAATTTACAGCTTCTGAAAACCTGCTAGAGGGTCAGCTCTGAGTTAGTTCTGACTTGACGGCAATGAGTTAAAGTGTAAATCAACAGGAACAAGGGTCTATGTTTTTGTAGAAAGTGAAAGAGGTGCTACTGAGCTCCTCCAGATTACAGCTTTGCCTGCAATAATGTAGATTATTATTATTATCTCCAGATCGTCCCATTTTCCCAGAATGCCCAAAACCTGGATTTTATGTGAAACGTCTCAATAATTTGATAGAATAATGGATTCAAACATTTCTAAGACACAAACAAATCAAATCCACTGTCATTAAGTGGATTTGTACTCAGAGCCTCCCTATGGACAGAGCACAACCAACTAGTTTAAAGACTAAGGGGCACCTGATCCAAGCCATGGTATTTCCAATGGCCTCCTCTGCATCTGAAAGTTGGACAATGAAGAGGGAAGACGGAAGTGAACTCGGTGCCCTTGATGTGTGGTGGTGGTGGTGAAGGGTATTGAGTACACCACGGACTGCCAAAAGAACAAACACATCTATCTTGGAGTAAATGAAACCAAAGTGCTCTTTAGAGGCATTGACAGTGACACTTCATCTCACATACTTTGGAAACGTCAGGAGGGGCCAGTCCTTGGGCAGAGACATCATGCTTGGAAAGGCAGAGAATCAGAGAAAGAGAAGAAGACCCTCAACAAGACGGACCGACCTAGTAACTAAAACAGCGAGGGCGAGGACAAGGCAAGGTTCAGATTGGTTGTTCACAGGCCACTGTGAGTCTTAGACAACTCGATGGCACCTAACAGCAGTGACCACTACCCCTGAGAGTTTACAAGAAGGCCTTATCATTCTCCACTGCAATGGAAGCTTCCAGTTTGCAATATCTGGTCTAAGGTAATTAGCACAATGCCTAGTATATGCCTAGCAGTGAGGTATGAACTCATCAGATCTGCAATTTGAGACATCCGATCCTGAGAGAAAGTACTAGCTTGACTGTGTGAAGAAGCAGTCAGGGAAGAGGAGACATGGCCATAATAAGCAAGACATCATAGGAAAGTTCAGGAAGCTGACAGAAATGGTGGGAAACTGTCATATAGGAGAGCCTCATCTAACTCTGCCCCTCTCCAGTCTCTAAGGACCTACCCACTTAGTCCACTCCTGCACTCCTGCTTTGCTGATACCTTCATGCAACCAGCCCTGCCCTGTGCAGATATAACTGACAAAGGACAAGCAAAAGACTGTCTTGAGAGAAGGGCGGTCAGAGTGCTCTTACGAAGCAGGATGATGAGACTTGGGCTCCCGTACCTTGGGAACATTATCCGGAGAGGCCAATCTGGAAAAGGACATCCACCTAAACAGAGAAGACCCTCAAGGAGACGCCTTGAAACCCTGGATGCAACAATGGGCTTCGGAACAGGAGACTGAGAGGAAGGCATAGGATTGTTCAGCTCGTTGCTCACAGGGTCGCTAGAAGACAGAGTCAACTCAAGGGTAGGAGGCAACAAGTGAAGACGCAGTTGTTTGGGGTGAGAAAGGGCCTAGCAGCTCCCTTCAAGCTGGCGGATTGAGAAAAAACCAAAAAAAAAAAAACCCATGGAGCTGGCAGCCAAGGACACAGTTTCCTCCCCGCTCCTTTCCCCTGGGCCTTACCCCATCAGCAACTCTGAACCCAGCCAAGTCCTTCCTTCTTGGGTGGGTTACAGCTGTTCCACACATGGTATAAATAAGGGCCAAGAGAGCTGGTCCTTTTTTTAGCATTTTCATGTTGATGCAAAGGTCACCGAGATTCCCAATTTGCTGGCTTTCTCTTTTCTCTCTCCTACATAGCTCATATTTTTTTTTTCCCTTCTCCAAGACGCAGGTTTTCATGTTCTCTGCTCAACTAACAGAAGACATATGGGGAGAGGGACCCTAAACATTTGTTTGCTCTTTGCTGGACTCTTAATAACAGGTTGGTGATGCATTGATCCCGTGTGGCATGAGAAATCACGGCAAGGCTTTGGCGACAGGATGCCAGGCTTGGACCAAAGCCATCCTGTTTTCTCTCTGGAGCACGAGGGAGGTTTAGGGAGAAAAACAGCTCTACTAATCATTTCATCAACCCGTTCAAGTAAGTAGCTGAGGACACCGAGGCCTCAAAAAACAACAGCAAAGAAAACCCAAACCACTTGCAACCAGATTCTGACTCACGGTGGCCTCATGTGTGTCAGAATAAAATGGCAGTGAACAGGGTTTCAGTGACTGGTTTTCAGTAATACATTGCCAGACCTTTCACCTTTCATTCAAGCACCTCTGGGTGGGCTCAAACTACCGAACTTCCATTATAAACCAAGCACTCTAACAGTCCCTACTACCCAGTGTCTCCCATTGATGACCTACTTGCATGTTTTTACCTAGCATGACTTATAAATATTCTTAGGAATTACATCCATAGGAGGTTTTCCTTATGCTAAACACTTTACAAAGAGTTATTCATTACCATATTATAGCCCAAATGAGGTGTATCTATTTTGAGGATGTCCAGTTTTGGCAGCCTAATGGTAAGGAGTTGTGCTGCAAACCCAAAGGTAGTTGGTTCGTACCCACCGGTTGCTCTGTAAGAGAAAGATGAGCAATCCCTTCCCCTTGAAAACCCAAGGGTTTAGTTAGTTCTGAGTCAACAGTACTTAACAACAATAACATTTTACAGAGGACAAAACTGGTTTGAGTAAAACTGCGTTTTGATGAATGGTTTGAGAAGCTCGGCCAAAGACACTTAGACTGGCAACAGCAGAGCCACTGAAGAATTTGGGATCTCAATTCCAATTCCTCTGTTCTTCTATTATTATTATTATTATTGTTATTATATTTTATATTGGTTTGCTCACAGTGCACAAATCCTTGGGAATAAGAGGGGAGAGAGGAACTGGAGGTACCTGTTGGAACCCCTCACCCTCCCAGCTGGCCCTCGGTGCCTACTTTGGAAACCAGAGTGAGCCCTGGAGTCAAAAAGAGCCCTTGCATCTTAGAGTTAACTGGTTGGGGGGGGGGGGAATCCAGAGATGCAGCTTTCTCCCAGCTCCTCTTCCACTTGGCTGTGCCCCATCAGCGATCAACCCTGTCTCAACCCAAAGTACTGCAGAGATGCAGGGGAACCTCCTCACCTGTCCTCGGGGTCAGCCAGGGCCATGCTCCGCGTGATGTAGCACATCTTGAGGGGGATGCTTTTCCGGTCTCTGTGGAAGGAGAAGGTCTGCGGGGACAGGGAGTCTGAGGCCCCAGCCCCTAGCCGAGGGGATTCCGGTGGAGGGGTTTCCCACCCAATCTCCGAGACTGGGGAGCCTTTCTTCACATAGGGCGTGGCTTCACGCATGTACTTCACTGCAAGAAAAAAGAGAGAGAGAAGTTAAGTGCATCTGACGGTGTTTGTGACACTTGTACTGGGTCTGCTCTTAATAAGAAAATCAAAACCTCTCAAAACTCAAACTCCTTAGTCTTTAAAGTAGACCCACCCTCCAGTGGTCTGCCCTATGCTAAGCACTTTACAGAGATGTATTCACTGAAGCTAAACAAACCAAAGAGGTTTATCTCTTTAAAGGGAATCCATTTTACAGATGACAAAACGGAGGCTTAGTGGTTTGAGCAACTTGACCAAAACCACACAGACTGGCAATGGCAGAGCCAGTGAAGAATTGAGCTCTCCACTCCAATTTTTCAGGTCATTCTAGAACCAGAGTGCAGAGTACAAATCCTTCCCATCATTACTCCTCCATGTGGTTGAAAGAAATGATGAAGACAGAAAACTCAGCAGGCTTTTTGAGGCTGTAAATCACATGGGAGAATGTCCATCTCTATGACCAGAGCCTGTGGGTTCGCAGTTGAACACGCTGGGGACCACTGCACAAGAGCTCTTCACCCATGACCTCGTCAACTCTCTACCACATCCAGAATTGCTGTTCTCCCCAATGTAATCATCTCGTGACCTAGAGATCAAGAACATCCTTAGAACTTGCTATTCCAACAACTTGACTTTGAAAACTGCTTTCTACTTTTCCAACTCAAACAACATCCAACTTTCTTGACCATAAGTTGCATTCTGGAAAAAGAGACTACAAATCACAGTGAAAATGCATTGACATAGGATTTAAGGACAAAAACTAATTAATTCAGTATCAATGTAGCCCCAGTTGGAAAGCATGAATGATCCATACTATTTAAAAACAGTAAGTGTATCTATGCCAAGGACAACATCCAAAAATTTCTCTTGAGATAGACAAAAATTTGTAATAGTAACAGCATTATTCCTAAGAGCAAAGCCAGAAACAATCGAAATGCTCACTACAAAAGGGAGGGTTTAAGTAAATGATGAGATATCTATGAAGTTATTGGAAAAATGTGCAGCCAGAATGCACCTTAGAAGCAAGAATTGTGAGACTTCATTTCACAGATACTGGACGTGTGACCAGAAGAGACCTGTCCCTAGAGAAGGACATCAGGCTTAGTAAAGTGGAGGGTCAGCAAAACAAGACGAATGGACACTGTGGCTACAACCATGGACTCATGGATGATGAGGATGGCACCAGATGGGACCATGTCTTATGATTACACACAAGGTGAATAGAAAGTGATGCTCCCAAGCCAAAGGTGGGTGATTTTAATCTGCAGCCCTCAGGCCTGGTTTTAACTGGTTTGGGTCAAACATTCTTCTAAGTGGTGTAGAACTGTCCATTTGCTGTACAGAGGTAACTGGCGGTTGCTGTGATGCTGAACACTGTGACAATGCTGTGTCAAATGCGATAACAGTTACCCATGGTGGACAGTGTTTGGTGGAGCTCCCTGACTCAAACAAGCTTGGAAGCAGAAGTGGCATCCGCTTCTGTAATACCTTGTCTCTGGAAACTTTATGAACCTGGAGAAAGGATGAAAGTTACACAAGTGTTCAGGCCTTTCGTTCATAGAGTCACTATGAGTTGTGTGTGTCTCGATCAAACTTAACAACAACAGGGTCATTAGGACTCAGAACTGACTTCATAGCACCTAACAATGATAACAATGATACCGATGTGATGCTCTAGAAAGATCTATAAGGTTTAACATCAGTGCAAAAAAATAGTGGAGAGCAGTATAAATGAGGTAATCTCTGTATATAAAATAAGTCTTTGAATGTGAACAACTAATTTCCGAGTGAAAGCATGTGAAAATGTTAATGATTGTTAGCTCTAGGGAGTAGATATAAAAGTCAAGAAGATGGAGAAAGAGACTTGACCATTCATCTATTTCCCTTTTATACCATTTGCATATTTAACTGTATACATGTATTACTCCTAAAAAATTAAAAGACATCATTTAGAGTAGGGCGAAACAGACTGAAGATCCCTCCTTGGAGATGCACGCCTTCCTCTGAAGAAGTCATTTGCTTACTCTTCATTCAAGCATTCAGTTCTCATTCAGTTGAGGTGACAGGGCCACTCAATGCTTCGAACATGGAATATAATTTGTCCTCTCCTTCTGTCACCCACCCTAGTCTGGTTCTCTGCTATGGGAGGAGAGGTGGTTAGGTCCCTCCCAGGCGTCCACTGTCACAGATGGCAGCACACTGAAGAGTGCCAACCAGGCAGCACTTCACCAGCCCTGATTCACTCCTGGAAGCTGGCACCTTCGCCTGTAACACATGAGCTGGGTTTGCGGAGGCTGCAGAGGTGAACAAACTGACGTTTTCACACTCAACAGTTATAAAAACATCATGACTATAGGGAGAGCTGTGGGGTCTCAGCCACTCGCCTTTACCCATATATGAATTCAATACCTTAGCTACTACTGTGTTTTGGTTGAAAACAATTTCTAGCTGCCTCTGCTCTGAAGAACCACTCTTTCCCCCCGCCCCCCATCTTCTGTTTAATATTCTTTTTCCCTACTTGTCACTTGAGAATGCAGTATCCCCTGGAAGCCTAACTTGTCTTCTCCTTGGTCTCTCTCAGCCACTGGTGTGGTCAGGGTCCTCGGCTAGTTCATCAGTTCATAGCCACTGGTGCAGCCAGGGTAAGCAGCTCACAGCCACTGGCATGGCCAGGGTCTTCAGTTCTGAAAAGAGGCTTTGGATCTTCAACTCTAAAAAGGGCCTTTGGTCTTCAGCTCTGAAAAGAGCTCAGTGTTGCAGCTCCGGGTCTTTGGCTCTAAAAAGAGCCTTTGGGTTGTGTTGCACATCTTATCTTCAGCTGGTTGCTAAGAACCATACTTTGATCAAGAGAAACCATCAATTTTTGCAGTCTTATGTAGTATTTGTCCTTATTGACACTGAGTTAATTCACCCAGCATAATGCTCTAGTAAAATACGTATGGGAATCCAAAGGGGGAAAGGTTGGGTGCAGAGGGGTGAGGATGGGTAGGAGTGAAATCACAGGGTTGCACAATTTGGTGGGTGAAGAGAGGGGGCAAAAGAAATGGGAACGATGCAGTGAGGACCTGAAAAGACAGGGTAATGACAGGAATAGTCCAATGGCGATTGAGTTTATAAAATATAATGCATGGGAAATGACTGTATGAAACACAATGTGAATAAAAAATAGTGTAAAATGATACATATAAACTTTGTAAGCAAACATATATAAGGTTATAAGTTTTTTAAAAAAGAAGAAGCCACCAAACCTGGGAGCATCATGGTGGTTGTTTGACTCTCCAAACACATGGTCTGCTTTTGGGGAGCTCAGTCTATGGCAGGGTCATAAGGCAAGTACATAAACTATGGCACAAAGTACAAGGATCTAAGTTTTATAACAGGAATAAATACCTTGTTGGAAAGGCCACAGGATTGGGGACCTCTGAACTTGAATAGCAGACAGCTCTCAACCAACCAATAAGCAGACCAATATGTTTGGATGCATATAACGTGGAAAATATATCTGGGAATTCAAGCATAGTGATAAAAAACAACTGCTTTTATACAGGGTAAAGGAGATAGCACTTGGTATAGGCGTAGGTTTGAAAAAAAAAATATTCCATGCTTTTAATAGAATGTTAGATGGATCTTGGCTTAAAACAGAGAATACCAGAGGAATGTCTATCTTTGTTTCCTTGACTATGCAAAGGCATTTGATTGAGTAGATCAAAACAAACTGCGGCTAACTCGAGACGAACAGGAATCCTAGAACACTTGATAGTGCTAATATGAATCCTCTACTTGACAGCCGTCAGAACAGAGCACGGAAAAAATGTATGGCTCAAAATCAGGAAAGGTGTATGCCAAGGATACATCCTATCTCGGCACCTTTACAATCTATATGTGGAATAGATCATCTGGGAGGCTGGGCTAAATGAGAAGGAATGTGGCATCAGGACTGAAGGAGGACTCATCAACAACCTGTGTTATGCAGATGGCCCAACCTCACTTGCTGAAATTGAGAAAGACCTGAGGCACTTGCTGCAGAAGGTCAAGGACTGCAGCCTTCAGTATGGATTGAAGCTCGGCATCAAGAAAACAAAGATTCTCACCACTGGGCTGATTGGCAGCATCATGACAGATGGTGAATAGATGGAGACTGTTAACACCTTCAGTTTGCTTGGCTCTACAGTCAACACTTTTAGTACCAGCAGCCAGAAAATCAAAAGACAAATTGTACTGGGGAAAATCTGCTCTCAGGGACATGTCCAAGTACTGAAAAGCAATGATGTCAGCCTGGAGACTAAGGTGAGCCTGGTGCAGGCCATGGTCTTTGCAATTACTTGCTATGCATCAGAAAGCTGGACAATGGTTAGGGATAACAGGTGAATTGGTGCCTTTGAACTGTGGTGCTGGAGAAGAGTAATGAATATACCATGGATTGCTAGGGAGCAAACAGGTTCACCCTGGAGAAGGTGAAATCAGGCTGCTTCTCGGAGGCAAGGATTCTGAAGTTCCGTCTGACATACTTTGGACATGCTGAAAGGAAGTACCAGTCCTTGGAGAGAGATATCATGTTTGGGAGGGTGGAAGGACAGTGTAAAAGAGGAAGACCCCAGCTGAAATGCATTGACTCAGTGACTGGGGAAAGGGAGGTGGGTATGTCAGAGACAATAAGGTTGTAACAGGTTAGAGCAGAGTTCAGAGCTGTTGTATACAGGGTCACTATGAGTCGAAAGCAACTCAAAGGCACTTAAGGAAGGAGGGAAGAATCCCACGGCTGTTACAAATTTACTAGCACAGGATTCAGTTACAGAAAGAGTTATTCACTGACAGTGATGTTGCTCTTCTTTGTTTTGGGAAATAAAATTGCAAAGGGACACAGAAACACTTAAGGCCAAAGATAAACACAGTTTAAGGAGACAGATTTAACCTGTCTAGAGCGGGAACAAATGGGATACATATTTTCTGAAGATGCTTAAGCACAAGCAAAAACACTTCTTAG